ACGGGACGGACACACGGACACGGGGACGGACACATGGACATGGGGATGGACAGACAGACACAGGGACAGACACACGGACACGGGATGGAGACACGGACACGGGGACGGACACACAGACACCGGGACAGACGGACACACGGACATGGGGATGGACACAGGGACAGACAGACACGGGGACAGACGGACGGACACGCGGACACGGGAGGGACAGACCGACAGACGGACACAGGGACGGACAGAGGGACACGGGGACACAGGGACAGGGATGAGGACAGACAGACGGACAGGGACAGACGGACAGAAGGACACGGGGACAGAGGGACAGACGGACAGAAATGGGGATGGGGACAGGACAGGGACGGACGGACGGACGGACAGGCGCAGGGACACGGGGACAAGGACAGACGGACACAGGGAGGGACACGGGGACAGCGACGGACAGACACGGGGACACGGGGACAGACGGACACAGGGACAGACAGACACAGGGATGGACACGGGGACAGACGGACACGGGGGTGGGCGCAAGGGACAGACAGAATGACAGAGGGACACGGGGACCGACGGACAGGAATGGGGATGGGGACAGGACAGGGACACAGGGACAGACGGACACAGGGACAGACGGACACAGAGATGGACACCGGGACAGACGGACAGAGAGATGGACACAGGGACAGACGGACAGAGGGACAGGACAGGGACACAGGGACAGACGGATACAGAGATGGACACAGGGACAGGGACACAGGGACAGACGGACAGACGGACACAGAGATGGACACAGGGACACGGGGACAGGGGGAAAGGACAGGGACACAGGGACAGACGGACAGAGGCACAGGGACGGGGACACGGGGACGGACAGAGGGACAGAGGGACAGGACAGACGGACGCCGTCAGGGATCCCCAGGTCCCCTTTGGTTTCCAGGGGTCCCCTATGGGGTCCCTATGGGGTCCTGGGGGTTCTGGGGGTCCCAGGAGGTCCCAGGGGGTCCCGGGGGGTTTTGGGGTCCCCCCGGATGCCATGGGGGGGGTCCTGACACCTACCAGGGTGTGCCAGTGCTCGATGGGTTTGGGGGTCCCTGTGGGGTCCTTATGGGGTCTGGCGGGTTCCTATGGGATCCTGGGGGGTTTTGGGGGGTCCCGGTGGGTTTTGGGGGTCCCAGGAGGTCCCAGGGGGTCCCGGTGGGGTTTGGGGGGTCCCAGGGGGTTTTGGGGTCCCCCCGGATGCCATGTGGGGGGTCCTGACCTCCACCAGGGTGTGCCAGTGCTCGATGGGTTTGGGGGTCCCTATGGGATCCTGGGGGGTTTTGGGGGTCCCGGTGGGTTTTGGGGGGTCCCAGT